CCCCCCCCCGCGTTTCTCGCAGGCTACCTGGGACCCGCCTGCGAGGAGAAGGTGGACCCGTGCGCCTCGTCGCCCTGCCAGAACAACGGCACGTGCTACCCCGACGGCGTGCGCTTCGGCTGCACTTGCAGCGCAGGCTTCACCGGCCCCACCTGCGCCCAGCTCGTGGACTTCTGCGCGCTCAGCCCCTGTGCCCACGGCGCCTGCCGCAGCGTGGGCACCAGCTACAAATGCCTCTGCGACCCAGGTGGGTACCGTCCACCAGCCCAGACCCTCCTCCCGCCTCCAAGATGCCGCTTTTCTCTTGCCTCTGTGCTGGGCTCGGCCCGCGGTGTAGTTGAGCACAGACGTGAGCGCCACGCAGCCGTGACCCTTTCTCCCGGCCGCGTTTTCGGAACGTCCCTTCCTCTTTCCGCGAGCAGTTCCCACTCACTGCAGAGAAATGGAAACGCACGAGTAAGCAACATGAAGAAATTGTAACCAGGCTTAATCTTACCCTGGCGTAATCATTGCTAAAGGCACCGAGGTCACAACGCCTTTGCGGTGTGGCACATCTTGGTTACTGCGTTCTTTGGCGCATGGGCTGTTTTTCCATTTCGAGTGGATCAGAAGTACTCGGGATGTCCCTTCTTCCTTCTTCCTCTTGCACAGGACCTGTGATGGTGCGAATGGTCAGAGGTCTCAGCGTTCATGTCCCAAATGCTTTCTGCATTCGCTGCACCGTGTGTGTGTGTGTGTGTGTGTGTGTGTGCATTTCGACACTCAGAAGGCAGAGTAGTCATTAGTCGAAATTTGTGTCTGCACAGCTCCCGGGTATGGCCTGGCAAGAAGGCCCTCAGCAGCTCTTTCTCCTCCTCTCTGCTCTGCCCACATCGCGGTCCTTGTACACATGGGCTGCCCAGCACTACGTGTGCCCCACTGGCACGCTGGTGGCCAGTGCCCGGCTGACTCCTGCCTCTGTTCCTGCAGCACCCAGTTCCCAGATCCCAGCTCCTGCGTCCTCACCAGCGAGCGTCTCCTTCCGACTCTGCTTGGCTTTCCGTTCTGAGCTTCAGCGGCCCCTGCAGTATCGCTCTCAGGTTTCTCCACCGGCAGGCTGACCCGCCTTGCAGGGCTCTGCTGTGTGAGTGACTTTGGTCCAACAGCAAGCCCCAGCCAGTGGTCAGGGAACGTAACTGTCAAGCTCCGAGGCTGGTGCTTCTCACTCTGGTGCTCACAGCGCCTGCCCTGCGAGGCAGGTGCTATTGACAGCTCCCTTCAAACGCAGGTGTGGGGCGCCTGTACCTGATTCCGTTCTGTGCTGTGACCACACACACGGTAGGGGACTGAACCCGGATTTCCTTCAGGTGTCTCAGTGCGCGGCCCAAAACTTTCAAAGGAGCGCTTCACGCTGATGAATCAATTAAAGGGCATAGTGGGAAGTGCAAATAAGCATTTGAAGGATGTTGAAAGCCTTTACCAAAAAGATTTTAAATCTCTGGTTTTCTAAGGCCTCCCTGGGCTGATCTGTTGCCTAGTGCCTCTTTCTTCTCTGCTCTGAAACACAAAGGGAATGAGGTTGTGTATCTACTTGGCAACCGGATTAGCGTTATTCTAGAGAAACGGTGTGTCTATCTCTGTGCTACCTGTCCACATCGATCTTCCTCGCCTGACCTTAAGGAAGTGCCTAATGCAGTAATGGGAAAGGCAAGTTCGAAATCTACAATACAGCCTGGCAGGCTGGAAACTCATTCAGGGTTCTGCTCCAGCTTGAAAGTCTTTTCTGAGATGCCTGACTGCTTCAGCTGTAGGCCCCCACTACGAGAGGCGCTTGTCTCGCTCAAGGCTACAAATTTACTCATTCACCTGACATGTGCCTGGTGTTTGTGGCACCAGATTCATCATCAGGTGGCTGAGGCCAGTTGACATAGAAGTTAGCCATTGCCGCAATGCTATGGGTTTCTCATAAAGGCTGGTCCCCTGCCCACCTGGGAGCCCGGAGTATGGGAACAGCGTGTTCCCACGTTGTGGGAAGAAGCTTTCCTCACAACGTGACTCCTGTCAGGCCCTTCCAGGGCCCTGCTCTGGATGTCAGAATGGGGATCGGTCTCCTCGACTGATACCCTCGTGGCCATCTGAAGTTAAACCCAGCAGGAACTCACGCCTGCCTGTGTCCCAGGAGACAGAGCACTGTGAAGCCCCACAGAGAAGAACCAGCTAGTCCCAGCTCGTTCTCCTCCTCTCTGCATCCTGCTCCCCCATCATATTGTATTTTGTTTTATAGTTAGCTGGCTTTGTTTTTTAAAAAGTTTTATTTATTTGTGCATACAGAACTGGGGTACAGGCCAGAGGCTCAGGCGTGGTGAGAGGCTTCACCAGAGACAGAGTGGGGAGCAGAACAGGCAGATCGACGAAGTCCACTCCTGAGGGGAGCAGCGGGCGGGTCAGGAGAGGTCTGCCGTGCCCTGGGGGTCACCTCCGGGGCAGGCGGGAATCAAACTCATGCAGAAGTGGTTTCAGCTTCTTAGTGCAGTGCTTTAACCCGCTGCGCCACCAGGGAGGGTCCTAGCTGGCTTATTTTGAAAGAATCAATGGGATGTGGTTATTTCAGCTAACTTTAAAAAGAAATTGGCATTTTTACTAGCACCGGATGGATCCACATCGTGCAGAGGCGTCGCGGTCCTAAGTGGGCAATAGACGCCCTGGTGTTTTCCTCTGAGGGACAGTAGCTGAGGGTGGAACCAAGGCCTTATTTATCAACTCTTCCCTTTGTGACTGATCCTCACAGAGCGTCTCTGGGCCTCGGTTTGTATGTTCACGCGTCAGGTCTTAGATGCCCTCCACTGGGCTGGTGACCGGGTTGCAGAGTAGGGGGGAGAAAGTGCCTGCTCCTGCCGCCGCGTTCTCGGGCGCTTTCCGAGGCACGCAGCGCCCCTAGTGGCCAGCTGTGTAAGGGCTACTCCGCTCTCCAGCCAAGAAAACGCCCAGGTCTCCTCCCGCCGCGAAGGGTGGGGGTCACGCAAGCGTCTCCCGTTGAACTCCAGCTCTACCTCCTTCTCTGCTCAAGCTTCACTGCTGTTCCTTTGGAGTGTTTTGCTGGGTGGTAGTCATTGCCCATCCGCCGCACAGCCTGAAAGCTTGCAGACACATGTGATCGCTCCCTCAGCCCTCCATCTCTTGGGCAGGCTGCTGGTGGGGAGCCTTGGGGTTCTGTCTGTCAGGCTCTTTGCTGGAATCTGGAGGAATCCCGTGCAGAGGGGCTAAGATCATTGGGTGACATTGTGCGAAATAAAAAAGGCATCTGAACATGTGGCCAAAATTTACATTTTAAGAGGTGAAAGTGACAATTCTCTGAATGCAGGGTTTCTAGTCTTCATCTTCTGGAGCATGTAATTGCTTTACCACTAATTTGCATAATAGTGGACCCAGGAGACTAGGTGAGATGGATCTCTAACTGAAGAGTGTGAGCCGGATGGTCTCGAAAGACAGCAAGCAGACCCCACCTCATAAATGGCAGCGGGTTGAAATACCGTGGGGTTGATAATTAATCCCCATCTGACAAAATGCTATTTGGGTTCCCGCAAATCAGATTTGCCAGCTGCTTTATTTTCAGACCTCATTTCTAGTTTATTAGGCTAGGGATTTCTGAGGTGGTTTTAGTATCAAATAATCAGAGAAATGCTGTCTCAGTGACAGTACTAGTGGTAGGCCATCCATACTCAAAACACGCTGCAAACTGAAATCTCCAGGCCAGGCGACAGTGAGGACCGAGGCTGTCTACCCTGTGGGGAGTGGCGCCTGAGTGTGGAATCCATGGGCAGCAGGGGGTGGCGTTGTACCTGCCAGTGGTCTCTGTGTGGTGGTGGCATCTGGAATACCTATTTATTCAGGAAGTGTTACATGGCAGGGAGAGAGGCACCCCTGAACCCCAAATCTGCCTGTTCTAAATAGGTTCTGCCGTCTGCCACATCAAGACAAGACATAGAGCTTTAATGGAAAGGAACTTTAATACAGTGAATATACAGTATGGAAAAGACAAAGAATATAATGTCTAAATCAAACACCTGAAGTGACCCATCCCCTCGTGGTCAAAAGTCCACCCAATAGGGATTGGCCCAAAGCAAGGCCTGAAAGCTGCCACTAGACTAAAGCACCTTCTGGCCGGGACCCATAGGAAAGGGTCACACAGGGCCAGACAAGTCTGGGAGGAAAAGAGCAACATCAAAATTAAGATAAAAGCTGCCACGGCCACCTCCCTGCGGGTCTCTCACCCACATCGCTTTCACCCAGTCTCCGACCAGGAAGCAAACACAGTTTCTTCATCACATGCTTGCTGCTCCCTGTGGCTCCCTCAGGCCTCTTTCTGGCTCCATCCTGCTTCCTTCCTCCTCAGATTCCTTCTCTTCTCCCTGCTCAGCTCCACCCTCCTTCTGGCTGGGGCCGGGAACCTGGGACTTCCCCTTCTCCTGGGAACCCACTGTTACAGAAGGAGCACCTGCGATGAAGGGAGGCTCACTGGCATGGCCTCCTGCAGCTCCCCACAAACTAGCCTGGCTGGTTGGGGCGAATTAGCTTTGCCATTGCAGAATGTGCTGCTATTCGAGGAATTGAAAGAATAAGACATTAGAGGGCTTTTGCATGGAAGTATATTTATCCATTTTTATCTTCATGAATGTTCCTGGGTGCTCATCTGCCATCACAACTTAGGCCTGGGGCCAGTTAAGCATGTGTCTCTGCTGATTCCTGTCTGTCGTAGGGCATCTCAGGTCAAGCAGGCTATAAAAGAAAGGATGTTAGACTTTTTCCACATGAAATATTTTTGAAAGAAAATATATTTCTAGGAATTTTGGATACTGTTGTTTATTTCCTACTTTTTTACATCTGTCTTACATGTGGGCTGCTTTTCTGTCCTTTATGACCTCCATGGCATAACTGCCATAGCTTCCTGTGTTGAAACTCAGACTTGGCAATATCAGAACTCTGGTGGTCTCTGCTGGAAACAGAATCTAAGATAAGTCTTCAGGGTCAAGATTTTAATAGAAACTAAACAGTGATGAAGAAAAAGGTCCCCCTAGAAATATAGGAAAACATTTAGCTCCCAAGTGAATGCCTAGTAACATTTAAATTCTCAGATCAGGACACTGGAGGACTTGCATTCTATGTTACCCAGAGAACTTATCAGATTTGACAGGATGAAGGTGCTCCTGCATATCAGCTCTTCTTGACCATAGAATCTAATTCTATCAGAATGAACTTTTCAAAGGTCAC